GTAGCCAATCTGTGGGATTGTTCAGTCGGATAATACGCCGTTATCCTTATTTGTCATAAAATGTCATGTCAGAGTCAGAATCCAAGGCTGTTTTTCATGGGTTCCATTCGTTATTCCTAAAAACCTGTCGGATAGCAAGGTTTTGGGATTGTTAAGGGTCGGATCATCGAGTCATGACTGTATTTAGAGTCATAAATTACACTTTGTGAAAATGCCTGCTCTTAGCAAGCTCAGCTTCACTGTGCAAGTTAGGACAGGGGAAAAAATGTTTTCCTGCACCGACTGTAGGCTGCTGAAGTCTAGATATCACTTTTAAAATTAGTCAAACTTTCTTTCTTTTGCCACAATGGCAGGAGGACGAGAGGAGTCAACAAAAAGTTACCAGACAGGTCAATTACATCATATCCGCCATGGTACAAGGCTCGACTTGCTCCTTCTGAAGGGTTATACACGAGAGCGCTGTTACAACAAGCCAGCAGTGTTCTTGTCTGGCATGAAGAACCACTCAAAGGACCATATACTCAAAAATAATATTTGACTCACCCTGTGCTGAAAGAAGGATGGATCGAGGTACTTGTCGAATCTGTCCTCAAACTTTACATCTGACTTCTTCCATTTCACCTGTGACATGAAAGGTTATTTTACATGTGTACACTGACTACAAATAAATGCGTTTACACGACCCATGAGATGACAGGACACCTACTGCAGACATAAAATCAGTATTTCTGTTTAAATTAAACCACTGAGGATGCAATTTCATACTCACAGAATAAGACATGGCGATTCTTGTGTTTGGCACAAGTCTGACTTTGCCTTCACTGGTCAGATTCACATCAACAATTCTGTTGCCATTGAAGCCAATTTCTAGTTTCTTATACGTCCACAGGTAATGATCTTCTCCATTTTCGTCAGCCTCACCGACAATACCTTAAAAAAGTGACATGCATTGAATTAGATACCTGGTCAAACAGACAGGCGTAAACTAAGAGCCGTCTATAACAATAATAACCAGTGTCTGTGCAAATATCAAATAAAGGTGACTTGCAACACTCTGGGTAACGTTGCAACAGCATAATCTGTAATTATTTGTTGCGTTCAGTTTTTAGGCTTAAGCTCCTGTGAAAGTTCATCCCAAAGCAAATCAGTCTGCTGCAGCCCTCTTATCAACTCCACATTATTCCAGGTCTGCCTGAGAAATCGCCTGTTTCTCTGTTGCAATGGTCCATGACTAATTCATTGTTAACATAGAAGTAATGTTGTTGCCCTTGTGTTCTGCTTTGCTGCTTTATTGAGTGACTCAGATTCTGATTATAGAATATTTAAATATAGAAGAAATGCACACTACTTTTCTGGATCACCAATTAATCTACACAAGCAATGCTTTTTTAACCCAGCATTCTAACCGTAGGCAAGTGAGCTGAATCCAATTCAAGTAACTGTAGTTAATGCAGCTGCAAGTCTGCGGAGTCTGAAGGTGATTAACTACAGGCCTGCTGTGAGCTTCAAGCTTTCTTTGAATAACCCTGAACCAAACATCTCACCCTCTCAGACATGATAAGCACACCTGTTCAATTACTACACTGGCAAACCGGATCTTAGGCCAAAGTCCATATTTATTTATTGGGATTAAAGCACCGAGTTTATAACATGCAAGACAGAGAAATGTCTGCGTAAATATCAGCACCCCACCCACTGCCGACAACATCGGCTGTTGTATCATGTTTAAGCAGCTGCAGGAGTGGTAACACTGCTACCACGTTTATGAGTGATCAAACAGACAGCTAGTTTGAGTGACACTCTTAAGAAGAGTTAGTAATTAGAGATGTGTAGTGAGTCATTAATAGCCTTACGAAGGAGTCCTCCACAGTCAAGCTTTTTCAAACATATGAATGAACTAATACAGGAAGGTGTGGGGTTGCAGATAGTGACATAATCAAATGTTTGCTTTGCCACGTTGAACTGGTGTCGCGCATCAATACATTTGCAACAGAGCCAAAACTACACATTGCATTTTAAAGTAAACCTAACAATTAAGTTAATAGCATTATACTTATTAAAATTAAATAAAGGAATTTAATCTGACCTGTTTTAGAGTTGTTACTCAGCAGCATACAATGGAAAAGATGCATTGCTCCACAGTACAACATAATAATAACAGTCTGACAACGGCTGATATTATCAGCTAATACACCAGCACACTGTACTTCTCAACAGGTTTTGAACAAAAACTGCTGGATTCACCACAGGTACTGACTTCAGTGCCTTTTCAGAGAGCCATCTGATACACGATAATAGAGTATAGTTACACCCCTACAAGGCTTGCCAAGACTGAAGGGACAGGCCCACCCCTGAATAAGGAAAGGTTTAACTGTTCCAACGTCTGGATGAAAAGACCGATATACAAGATGCCACTGTCACTGTAAACCTATGTGATCAGTAAGTGAAGTAAATCAATACTTCATAACTCAGACAAACTAGAGGACACAAAGAGATAGAGCATAGGACAACTCTCAACAGAGACCAGGTCAAGAAGTCAACAGGTCTTTGAAATAGAACAGCAGCATCACTTACCCCAGATAGGCAGGTCATCTATGTACATCTGGTACCAGTAGTGATTCTTTATAGCGTACACAAAGGCATCCCGTTTGGCTTTGTCCAAGTCGATTTCACAGTATGTTGTTTGCATGACTTCATCTACAGAGATAGTAAATACCACATATTTTATTAGATATACGAAAGGGACATAATTTGTGCTGAACCGGTGAAAGTGTAACAGCAATGTACCTTTGAACTTTATGTCTAGGCCGCTGAATTCCAGCTCCACTCCCTGCAAAGCCTCTCCGAGTGTTTCATGGTAGTGACTGATGGTCTTCTTAGAGCCCGCACAGAAGGGCAAAGAGAAATACTTGTATGTCTCCTGTCGGTTGTGGTAAGGCCCCACTGTGTTCATCCATAAAACTACCTCCTCCTTATCTGTGTACTGCATAGACAGAAAAACACAAAATTTTCACTGTGTGATGTTGTAATACAGCACCAGTTCTGCAAGTCCTACTGGTTTCACTTTGTATGTTATCAGTGATTTTCAGGACATGCTCACATTGGTAGTAAAACAGCTATTGAAGTAGGACATGTTTGAAGCAACGCTATCACCACATTTAGACTTAAACTGATAGGCAAAAGAAGGGATATTATATTCAAATCAATGCAAACAAATAAGAATGTAAAAACCTAGCTATCACTACATGCATCCGGGTAACACTGCAGAAAGTCATACAAGTTAGCCATGTTTGCCAACATTCAAGGAAGTTAACTCTAATGCAATTCCCAGTCACCTATTTAAAAGATTTCACGCATGATAAAGTTATATTCCGTGAAAAAAACACAGTAAGGGACACCTTACTACCTTGTTAACTAGTTAAAATTAGGGTGCCTGGGTCTAACAATTACGAAGAAGATATAAGAAACATCGAAAGGCCCTGACGTTTAACCGGTGTTTCGGCTAAATCGTGTACATAAATCGTGTTTATAAGATTTGCCTGGAGGTTAAAACGTTTAACACGATCATAAAGCGGTTTTGGTTTTTGCTGAATAAGTAACTAACGCTGGCTAGCTGCTGTCTTGAGTGCAGTTTCCGCCGGTGCTCAAGGAAAGCTTGTGAACACCAGTGTGGAAGACGTGCTAACAGGCTAGCAAGCAAACGTTAGCCATAAGCACTTAGGCCGATAAGTAGTGACAAGTTAGCTAGCTAATTGCATGCCCCTCTGTTCGATAGCTTGCCGAGTGTCGGTATGTAACCCAACAGGCCGGGTGTTGAAGTCTGTCATGTGTGTATTTGTGTTTTCTGGGCTGCAGCTAGCCGTCGCAGCTACAGCTAGCAGGTTACACAGAGCACAAACGTCCATTATTTTCACGGCTCCCCCTTTTCTATCGGCCTCTCAAACCGCTGTCTTACCGTGTGGTCATGTTCGTCTGCGTGCACAGGTAATAAAGAGCCCAGTATAGCGAGAAACGCCGCCGCTGCCACCTTCCACCTGGAGGATCCCATTATTTTCGGAGAAAGTATGCAGAAAGATTGGGGATGTTAGCTTTGTAGGGCTATCCCACCTTCTTCCTGGTTGTATGACAGAGGCAATTTTTAGGGATGCTCTCGTACGCATATGGCGTAAGCGCCTCACGAGCTCTCATCGCTGGCGCACTGGATTGGCTGAGAGGCGTCACGTGGTGCACGGCGTCCAATCAGAGTAGAAGGAGATGGACGTATCGGTGAGTAAAGAAACTCTGTCGGCGCATCGCCCGCAACCTTCAGCCACGTCATCCGACTGCCAAGTCTTGAGCTTCACCTTTGACAGAGCTGCTGCATGAAACATGATCTCCGCTCACAACAAACAGCTCCATTCACTGTCTGATCACACTCTTTATGGCCCAAAGTTGTGTGAACAGTGTGTCACTCTGAATACATTGACACGAGCGGGTTAAAGTATACACAACAACCTCAACCTGTGCTTCTACATGTTGGAATCTCTCTTTCATGTTGCTCTGGATAACTTGCAGCACTGTTGACACTTTTATACAAATTTTAGATTTAAAAGTCCAATTATTAGTCAGAGGAGACAAAGAATACATCTAACTCATTGCTAGAAATCAATGACATCTCAAGTTTGTAAGTTCTTATTTACATTCTGTTATTACAGCCACAACACCAAGTGTCAGAGGTCAATATTTCAGCAACAGTGGTGGTACAAATCAGATTTTATTCTCTTTAAAGACACATTTTTACAAAAGGTGAAATAATAGAACTCAAATTTTGTCTTCAAAAGGAGACTGATTTATCTCCCTTGACTTCACACATGATCTTGTGCTTCAAATACTGTCATTTAAAATCAACAGCTCTGTGAATGAGAGGTTCTGATACTTTAAAATCATTCTGACACCAGAATACTCTTGATAAATGTAAGCCTATATCATTCTCCAATGAAAGCAAAAAGCTACATCTCCTCAGGTACACTGACTTTCCACCTGTTGAGAAACGGTAGGCTACACAATTAGGATTTACAGAAGAGGCTTGGTTCACATTAAGTCAGTATGTTTGTATAGATTCTCAGTCAACCGGGTCGGGGTAATTCCAAGTGCTTCAAACAGAAGGAAACTGTTTTTCATCTGTGGTTTTTAAGAAGTTTCCCCTCTTATCCAAATGGCTTCCTCAGTTCTACCCAACTGGTGGCGAGTTCCAGGTATTTGTTATCACCTCCAACTCACATGACTCAAAGTGTGAATGGTGATGAAACTGCCCGGGGAAGAACGTCACGACTGCACTGTGCAATGAGTCCCCACTTGCCAGTTACAAGTGACGAAGCCTCTTGGATGAAAGGGGAAATTTCTTAAAGAACCAGAAGGGAAGGTTTGTTTCTTTCTGCTGAAGCATTTAGGACACTAAGTCAACATAACTGGTGTTTCTGACAATCAGAGCCCAAGTGAGGTGACTTTTTTTTTTTCACTTCAAAAGAACATCTTTTTGAACATTTTACATAAACATATTTTGTACAAATTTTAAAATACAAAAGTTTAGAATGCAGATAATGTTACTATAATGTGGCAGCCATAGAGTTCCTCTCATAAATCTTCTTTACATTTCAGGCTCAGAGAAGCTGCTTAGTGTTTATAGATTGTTCAAGTCAATTTTAAATTGTGCTACACACAGCTGAACCAATCTTGGCCACATTTTTTTTTTTCTAATTACCAGGACGTAAAATGGTGTTACATGAATTCTGCAAGGCTGCAGTTACTTTATCTTAATATCCAGATGGGAGAATATTTTAACGAGTGTTTTCTTGAAGCAAAAAGACAGACATGCAGTTAGCTGCTCGCTGACAGAGGATGTGATTAAATTGCACTGATATGTGAGCAGATATTCACTGAACTTATCTAACTGCTCTCTATATTCAGTGGTTACAATGACAAAACTCAGATTTTTTTTTTCTAAAAGTACACTTGTGATCAGAGAGATTTTTTTTAACTGCTCTCTTTGAATTATCATGAAATGTCACTGTCACCTAAACATCTGAAGCCTCGGATTACCAGACTGATTATCTGGTATTAAACAGCAGATGAGCATTATCACCTCAGAACAGCAGAGGGCACCTACTGTCTCATCCTAATTACACTTCCAGCTTCAATAACAATTATAAAAATCAGCAGTTTACAATCTTAAACGATTGTCTTCAATTTAAAAAACACAGTTTGCAATCAAATCCTGAATGCTTCTTCCTAAAATAAAAAAAAACATTCAACACATTCAAAATTAAATTATCTGGAATCATAAAAATAAATCACATCTTTATGCAATCAATACAGTATACAAATGAAATGAGATCAAATTAAATCAGTGCATTCCATCTTTGGATTTTCTGCTCCAGTCGTCTTTCCAGCGTCACAACGACAGCACAAACCTCCTGTAGGGATGAAGCAGCACACATGTTGTAGAAATGAGTACAACATGTCAGTATTGACTGTGATCGATTTAAGGATCGTCAGTGAAATGTTTTCTCACTTTATGATGTCGGGCAGACGGGCGTCTCTGTACAGGCCGTTGTGTAGATATCCCAGAGAACCCTCAAATGTCACCAGCTTGACTCGCTCTGTATTCTGGGCACTTGCTGCTACCTCATACATCTGGAAGAGTGAAGGAAATACAGCTCAGTCAAACTAAGACAAGAAATGTCCCCAGAGGAGACACTTAATCAGTTAAAGCTATAATGCAAATACTGCTTTCAGTTTATATTAAGTGAATAAGTAGCCGTCTGTGCCTGTAATACCTGCTGAACTACCGGAAGAGGAACCATGTGATCGTCCTCTGAATGAAGGAAAAGTATGGGGTTTTTCATTTTCTTCAAACTGCAGAATAAAAAAATAGATATCAAGACATTGCTTTTTACTAGCAATAACAATAAAATTATTATTTTTAAAGTCTGATGTTATTCAGTTAAGATTTGACTGTTCTGTATAACCAACTTACTTCTCTTCAGTCGGAAAGACAATTTTATTTTCTGCCCATGGCGCTTTGAAAAAGCTTCCAATGCCTGGAAATTTCCAGTAATACTTAACAAAAAAATGTATAAAAATACAAAGTTAGGTGTGACGCAGGAAATTAATACACACAATATGAAAAGTAGTAGGTTATATGAGTCTACCCAAATGAAAGGATGAACTGGAATTTTCTGTCGAGCACTATTGAATGCAGCCTCGAGGATCACACCATCGAAAACCACGCCTGAAAAGAAGAGGAAACAGTCATGATATGGAGATGTTAGATGTTGTGTCCTTCTATTTCTATCTGATAATGTTCACTGATGGTAAAACCTACCCTCTGCAAGCAGCTTGACTGCAGTGTTGGTGGACACTCTGCACGGAAACAGAGAGCAACATGTTCAGTTTGTCCAGTTTGCACTTCAGCTGTTTCTGATGTCGGCAAGTTTAATGTAGTGAAATGTCGGCAGTGTTTTGCAGTAATTTGTTTAATTGGCACCATTAAAATTATTTTTAAAAATGGGTTGGGAACTTTTGCTATCTATTTTTTCATTACATCACAAAGAGAAAATTGTCTATTGATTTAATTTCTAGTTGTTCCGGTTTGTGTTGTTGCCTAAGAATTACATTTCAAACAAAAATCACATTTTCTATTTCTACGTTTTACAGTTGTGGTTGAACAGTAGCACAGTCACATTATGTATGTAGCACATCTGACCATACAATAATTTACTGCTACCATAGTCTCTGTGAGTTTGAAGACATACGTGAAAAACATTCATATACTGAAGCCACAGGCCAATGCCAATTGTCGCTCAAATTATGGAGTAGCAGCCTTCAAATACCTGTTTTCAGAGTGACTCTCCTCCCATCCATGAAAGCAAAGACAACATTATTATAGTACTGTATAGAAAATATATTGTCTGTAGCATTTTAACGATACCAACATATATAGTGTCGCTCATAAATTATTGTGAGGTCAGATACACGATATTATACGTGTTGTGACTGGGCCACTGGGTCTGTGGCTGGCTGGAGGCTCCCTTGGGTGCTAATGGTGCAGTTTAACCACAAACACAAAACTAAAACACACAATTAGGAAGTCACTTTTAATGGTGCTCAACAATAAACACTAAACTAAGAGACAACTATCCACTTGTGAAATAATCGCCGTAAAATGGATCATTAAAGTTTCAACCCCATTTTCATTTGATTCATTTTGATGCTGCAAACGAAGCAAAGAACTGCAACGTGTTACACAGACTGCAGCTGTGGCTTAATCATTAAAGTCAAGAATGCACCATGTATTTAACTGACGACAAAATCAGATTTGTTTCCTTTATCTGTCAATTAAAAAATTATTATGCACAAAGAACCAGAATGACGAGTAGCAAATTACACTATTTAGGGTTACAGTTTTCATTATTTCTCTTACCAGCATTTTCTTAAAAAAGTGCCATTAAAGTGTGAATATTGCAGCCTACTACCTCAGAGTTGAACATTTTTAAATGATAAGCACATAATATCTGTTCAACGCAGCTACTACAACAATGACTGAGATTTTAATTTGTGTAAACGTGTCTCCACTTGAACAAAACGCAGCAGATCGGAGGTCTTTGCTTACTGACCCAGTGCCAAGAGAGTGTCCCCAGATCACGACCAGGCTGTTTCCACTGCGTGCTTTTACCCAGTTGTACACGCACAGGGCATCAGTGGTCAGACCGGCTTCAGTCGGCTCCCCGGTGGAGTCTCCAAAACCTGCCAGTGTTTCTCACGTTAACTCTTGCTCACTGAAACATCATGCAGCTGCTGTTCTCTGCCACAAGGTGGCAGTCACTCAGAGGAAAACCTGCACTGACACTGACCTACAGTTGAACTGTTGTCTTTTGACTGCCCAACAGCAAATAACTCATCAATCAAAACTACATTATTCTACATTGATCATATGACTGCAAATGATATTAGATCAATGTACGAAGCCTGTGCATTACAATCAATATGGAGGCAAAGGAGCACAGAGATGGAAAATATGTCACAAGAATCATAAATCTTTCTTTTGCACCAACCTCTGTAGTCAGGCACCAGCACGTGATAACCAAGCGCACTCAATACCTGTTGACATATAACGCTTATTTGTCATCAGAATGACGAGCAAGTTTTTCATATCAGACTTCCACAAGATTTATATGTTTGCGTTAGCGATTACTCACTTTTGCCACTCCTATCCGATGAGCGGCTGCCCTGTAGGAAAGATTAACAGATATAAGTGCCAACAAATTGTGTTTTTCTAAAAAAGAACATAGAATATGTCCAGCAATGTGGAGCCTTTACTCTCTGAATTTTCACCAGCCAGCTATAATACAAATGCATTATTTATCATACCTTGTGCCTGTGTTCCCATGAAGATATATGAAAACTGGACTTCCATCGCTTAAAGCGTTCTCGTACCATGCTAAGTCCTTCCCTTGTGCCTCTTTCCACCGACGTTCAGGCACAGTGTACCTAAGCCAGTTCAAAACAATGCACCGCTTAGAGATACAGCTAATAATGGGATCATTAAAAAACAAGCATTGTCCTTCAGTATAAGCTGTTTTATATCCACGCTAGGAAAACCAAAAAATGTTTCACTTGGCTTCTACTCACCATACACCAAGGGAAATTCCCTCCTCTGATGTTAAGTACATGTTGATGGTGTGATTAAGGGAGAGATCAGCAGGTCGGCTGAGGTCAACAAAGAACGGCACGCTGACTGCAAACAAGAAAAGAAGAGAGGAGTTGCTTTTTTTTGGTGAGCAACTGAGGATTTACAGTACTTCCAAGAGGCAGAGAGGGTATTCACTCACCTCGGTGAGTGTAAACAAAGTGCTGGATTAATTCTGGGAGCATTTTGTACGAGACAGGCACCAAAATGAAGACAACAAAGAGGGCCAATAAGCCCCTTTTTAGCCCAGAGCGGACCCTGGAAACAGGAACAGAGAGAGAGAGAGAATAAAGTAATGAGACTACTGACCATTATTCTACATACAATATCTTGTGTACGTGTTGCTGCATTTGAATTTTTAGAACTAAACCAAACACAGCCAAGCACAGTAGACTTCATTAGCAATGTTTTGAGTAGTGATGGGCAATTACTGGCAACAAGATAAGCATCGGCCAATATGACGACTGACAGGCAGATATGTTTCCAATTTTGTCTAAAATGTTCCATAAAAATAAACATGATATATTTTAATGTGTAAGTCAAAGTCGTTTTCTTATTCTGCCCAGTGAATGTGTACATTTAAAAATTGTAATTGTATTTTATGTCTGCCAGTGGGCCATTACGCTAAGAGCAAGTATAATAATATGGTAATTCCTCTACATGAGAGACTTGATGTTCTCTGCAATTAGGTGGAAAAATATGTGCATATATTGGCATCAAAATTCCAAAATGAGTTGAAAAATATTGGCATATTTGATGTAGGCAAAAATCCAACATCACTTGTCCCTAATTACTGACACTACGCACCAGCATTGGTTAATTTCTAACAATACCTGTTATTAATTGATGAGTTGAACCCACCAACCCACCGCTGCGCTATCTGTGCAAGCGTCACAACACCAAATCAACACTACAGCAACACTGAGGAAGTTTCACTCCCACCATTCCACTTTATCCACCACATCTAACTTTAGTTACACTTCTGCAGAAGTTTAGGATGACTCAGCAAATGTGCGGTACATCAAGTGAGAGGAGGGTGAGGGTGTGTGGATGACTTTGTTGAGTGGTGCAAAAAGAACCACCTGCAGCTCCGTACAGGCAAAACCTGAGAAACAAATCGCAGTCCTCAGAAAAGCACTGACTGTGAACTGTGAGCCTGGTGCAGCAGAGAGCACAGAGGAATGTATCCTGAAGCCCAGTGACACGACCTGAGCCGCTCCGCACATGTCCTACCAGGATGTGTAGCAGTGTTAATATAGAAGCATTAATATGGAAGAGAAGAACTGAATGATCTAATCAAGAAGGCAGGCTGTCATTGGAGTCAGTCTAGACTCCCTGGAGGCAACGGCAGAAAAGAGGATGCTATTCAGACTATTGCCAATTAATGGACAATACATCCCACCCCCTCCATTAACACTCTAATAAGCCAGAAGAGCCCTTTTACTTGAAGACTGATCTCTCTACACAGCTCGAGGGAAACATATAGGAGGTAATTTATTCCAAAAGCTATCAGACTGTCCAGAGGTAACGCCTTTACATTACCCTTCACTTGCTAATCTTTTCTAAAAAAAATATGTCCAAAAGCTCAAACCAGATTCTTACTGAATGCACAACTGCAGCACGATTTAATGCAACCTTCGGCTTACTTTATTCTGGAGAACAGCTCATTTTGCTCAAGTATTTGACTAATATAATCAATCTAATTGTAATACTTTACAATTCAGAACATTCCTGTCCAATGGTAATAGTAGTAAGACTTCCAGAAGGTGCATTAAAGCAAAAACATACATCTACACATTACATACACAACAGATATTGTGGCGTCCTCTGGCGAAAATCAAGTTTTATAATTGATCAACTAGTCCACATGATGTTTTTATGTGATAGATGACATATTATGCTTGAAGTAAGCAGTTAACATCACGGCTGAGCTTTTCTCCTTGAAACTGCAGTTAGTGACAACAAACTCAAGGACTCTAAAACACAGATTAATACTTCCAGGGTTTCATATGCAAAAAAAAGTAAGGACCAAGCCTGTCAACATGCAGGGTGGAATGTCAAAAAATAAATAAAAAAAAAACATATATATATAGAGTTGGAAGTTGGAGTTCTTGCTCCCTGAAGGCAGACCAATAGATATACAGAGGAAAGCAAACATGGTTTCAGGTCAATCTGACCTGAAGCTGAAACCGACCTTCAGACTGAAGCTCATCCGGCTGCTTCTGGTCTGAGAAACATGTCTGTCAGGTGCCAGAAATACTGCAGCGTACGTACCATGAACTGGTCTCGTCATCGGGCACATTTACTGAACTGTCCAGAAACTCTGTCAGCGATGTTTACCTCCGAGGCCGGTTACCTCCATTTCCTCTGTAACACTCGTGTGTGGTTGGAGTCTAACTGAGCACCTTTGATAAAATGTAAATGTTGCTGCTCTTTTTACAGTCTACTCCAATATTACACCTTGCCACTGTGCAGCATAGAGTACAGAGCCATAGTAAGCTGGTGTGCTCAAGCTGCAGCGAGTGGAGAGGGCTGCATGGAGAGAGAAGTGGAGACTGTAGAGATCTGCATATTACAAAGGAAGCAGCAGTGTAGATGTAAATCGGAGCAGTTGTAAGGCGGTAAGGGATTACTGTCATGGAAAAAAACATTAATATGTAGCTGATACACAGAGATGATGGTCCACTGGGTTTATTTAAAAGCTAATTTAGTATGTGCTACACCATTTGCATGACAGATTTTAAAATATTTACATTCATGTCCTGGAACATTATTATAGGATCTGAGTTTAAATCTCCTCCTGTGCCTTTAACCCTCCTATCTTTCAGTTTGATCCCATTCAGTGTTTACTGTTCCTAAGTAAGTGATTGACAGTGTTTTATTTGAAGGGCTTGCTACACATAAACGTGGGTAACAATTTAATTATCATGATTTTCTGAAGGTTTAAATCGCTGACCCCAAGGATAAAAGATATCAGTATTTTTGAAGGTAATAGGAGGGTTAAAAAAGTTCAGAAACGCACATCCCGAGCTCCTGCACCACACCTAGTAAACTTCACAAACTTACCACTGAAGTCATGGTAATCTATGTCTAAGGGCGGTTAACTTTTTCTACTACAGCAGATGCAGAACAATCATTTGCTTTGTTAGATCCGGTTCTTTAGTTGGAAACCCAAGAACAAGCCGGAGAAATCTTCAGTTCTCAGTTGTAGAATTTATTTATTTTAGTCACAGGTAAAGTGAGGCAGCGCTGGAATTCAGAGGGACAGAGAGGAATCTCATGTCCAGCTCAACTGAGTGTTTTCAGTTCCAGGTTACAGATATCTTCTTGGGCTGGGCCTGCCCCAAACATAGATAAGATTTAATTGGCCAGTTATTAATGGCGTGGACAGGCATCCTTCTGTGCTCTGTCCACGTCCTTGATATTTAGTAAGCAGTGTGTGTGGATGTTGTTGGTACTGCGTGTAGCTAAAGTAACAATAGAAATAGAAAAGAGGAGTTTCTGCTGTCTCCAAGTGTGCAAACCAGTTCTCATAGGCCACATTATCTTCAAGGACGTATGCTGTTCTCAGTAGGAAAATAGGAAACAGAATCATAGGCTCAGTGCAAAATACAGATGCAAAATACATAATACCTCGAAACATACTTAATTCTAACAGCTTCTCAGAAGAGGTGAATGACGCTCCTACAATTTAGGAATAGATTCTAGATCTACTCATTAACGCCAAACAAACACTGTGCTCAGCTTGTGACTCTAACTTACGGTTCTGCTTCCTTCCTCTTGACTTTTGGGTTCCTCTGGCCTTCCTTGCCAGTGCCTGAGGTCGAAATATTCTGTTTAACGGCTCTTTTCTTCATCGTTTACCGTATTTAACAACAACAACAAAAAAATTACAATTTAGTATGAATATAAACGTCCAGTTCAGTCCTGAACTTTGACCAAGTTCAATCAGAGCGCAGATCAGCCGCAAAAGAATGGGACGTCTGGGTTGTTGTTTTTTTTAAGGTCGCACCCCGTCACAATACAAAACAGTCCACGCAGATCACCTTAAACACAGCACACACTGTACTTTATGATATTATTTATGATGTCTACGCACATTTGGAAATAAAGACACAAATAAACTGACATACACACACACACACCACTGTCTTTCACCTATAGGAAAGCAATACACAATGGGAGGAAACTCCCTGGTCAACCTTAACAGATAAAACGCGCCGATATCTACATACAGTATAGGAACACCCCCCGTAGTCAAGACGGTCCCAATGAAAAGCACCTATCCACCTTTATTTTTTCTTTATTTTTTTCTTTTCACCGTTGAATCGTGGTCAAGAAATTATGGCTGTTTAGTAAAATAATTTCCCAAAAAAAACTCTTTCTTGTCAAAGTGACAGCAGATTTCTTCGAAGTAATGCCTGTTAGTTAAAAAAAAAAAAACGAAATGTATAATAAGTGATCGCGGAAGCATTCACCCTTATCAAGTTAGAATTTAGTAGACAGACCTTTGACCACACTTGCAGCATTGAGCCTGTGTGCGTAGATCTCAATCAGCCTTGCAAATTGGGTCACTGCAATTTTACTACATTCTTCAGGCCACCGCTCAAGCTCTGTCAGGTTACGCAGGGATCATGAATGAACAGTCCTTTTCAAGTCCAGCCACAAATTCTCATCTGGACTCCTGACTCAGCCACTCCAGAACATTCATCTTGTTGTCCTTAAACCATTTCTGTGTATCTTTTGCTGTATGCCTCAGGTCATGAGCTTGCTGAAATACAGTTTCTGTCAAGGTACAGTTGTCTTGCAGGCTGCCTTCAGGATTTTCTTATACTTTGCTGCATTCATTTTACCTTCTACCTTTACAAGCCCTTGAGGGCCTGCTGCTGAGAAGCATCCTTGCATTATGCTGCCACCACCATGCTTCACAGTGGGGATGGTGTGTTTATGATGATTTGCAGCGTTTTGTGTCCACCGAACATATCGTCTACTCCCATTAGAGCAAAGAACCTTCTTTGCAGCGGACTTCAGAGTCTCCCACATGCTTTCTGGTGAACTCTAGTTGAAACCTAACACAAGCCTTTTTCAACAGTAGCTGTTTCTTTGCCACTTTGCAGTAAAGCTTCAACTGGTCAAGAACAGGCAGCAGTTGTTGTCTGCACAGTTCCCTGACATATGCCTTTGAATAAACTATTCACAGAGTGGCTTGGTGGGTGTTTTTGTCTTCATTGTGCAGTCATAGCCAGTAACAAACCAGTGACTGGACTTTTCAGATACAGATGTCTTTATACTACAATCATTTGAGACACATTCATTGCACTCAGATGATCTTCATTTTAACAATTGTCTGACACCAAACAGCTGCATGGGTGCATCATCTTTAAGGATCTGAATGCTAATACACTTATTTTACACTTTATATTTTTAATTTGCTGACATTACTTGTAAAAATCTGTTTTCAATTTGATGTCACAGCCTTTTTTTTTTTTTTTTAATTGCCTGTTGTATTGTTGTTTGAAATTGTTACCTACAAATAAATACCGCATGTTTTTCACAAGTAATTTCCTTTTTTCTTATTGTGCAAATTTGAAAAGCATTGCATTTTAATCTGCACCTGCCAGTGGGCCATCATGATAAAAGCAGGCATAATGATATCTTAATTCAACTACAGGGGAGACTTGATGTTCTCAGTAACGAGGTGGGAACAAATGTGCATACAATATACAGGTAAAATAAGTTGGCCAATATTGGCACAATGAATACTGGCAAAAATTCAATATTCCTAGTTAGGCACATATACTGAGCATCGATTTTACAGAAATATATATATGTTTTGGATTTCAGGCAGCAGTAACAACGGTGGTGTGTTTGGAATAAATAGCAATATTAAGCTTCATGGGAATAAACAGAGGAAGAGCTGTCTGGGAGGTAAACATGATTATGCAACAAGCCTGACATGTTATGGATCAAATAAAAGGAGCACACTAATATTGGTTTGTAATTATATTCCACATCTCCTTTATTGCACAGATTTTCCACTATAGCCTTCATTTTAAAATAATTGGGGGGGAAATCTCAGAAATGTCACACATTCATCATCAAAACGGACTAAAAATGTTACTGTACGATTAAAAACGGGACACATGAGAGGACCCTGTGGGCTACACAGACAAGAAAAAAGGCAGCATCTCCAGAAACTGCCCACATGTGATCTGTATGAATGAATGAATATGAATAGCCACTTTACTGTCAAACAGAACATACACTAGCTGGTAAATTTCGATGCAAAAACTCGCCATCAGACTGTAGGATGTGCAGTGAAGCAATTGGGACCAAAATATGTCACCAAAAAATAAATAAAGACGACCACTTCAAGAACTGCGCGGCTCGGGCTGTATGAGGGATCCAACAGAGAGAACGGTGGCTGCAGCAGAGCCCTCTGGTAGCTGATGGGTCAGGTACACACCAAAAGTCACCTAAAACGATCACAAAACACCAGACAGTTCATTCATTTTTTTTCATTTATGTGCAATTTATCCCTCACAAACGCAGCACTAATGCTAAGGAGGGATTAATTGATTTTGACTGACCTTCCCAGTGCGAGAGGCAGACAGGGACATTAGCGGCTCTTTTGTTTTCATCCCAGTGTCCTGGTCTATTCCAACCATCTGGCACCTTCCACACGGACCTGCAACCTACGGGTTAATCACACAGATAGCACATTTATTTTGGAGGAAAAAAAAACCTGCTTTTAATGCATTTGAAGATTTAATCATTTATCTCAAAGTGTCAGCTCACCATGAATCGAGTGCTGCCAATAATCAAGTGTGACCAATTATCCTCCTCAAATGGTTCTACTCCAGCGATGACTAAATTGGCTCGGAAGCGGCTAATGACATTCTGTGTGTCAAGGAGCTGATCGCCCTCAGAATCGTCCTGCCTGAGATGGGGAATGTGGAAATTGCACGTTATTCTGCCGCGCTCCGTAAATTATCCACTGTGATGTAAATGTAAAGGCGTCTACACATCCTGACTATTTCACTGGAGCATTGCGTATTTTGAATAACATGTCGTGTGTTCAAACCTGCTGCTCATTAGTTTCTGAATGAGCTCCACGCTGGCACAGTTGATCATGAGATACTGAGCTTCATTCACCAGGGAGAGGGACGTGGAGGTGGAAGCTAGAAGGGAAAGACTTTATAGATTACCCCAGTGATTTGTTCCATTTGAGGAAAACATTTTGGATTTATGGTTGTGAACAGATTGCATCCTCAAAAAGTCTGAAAATTGAGCTTTTTTTTTGCTGCAATGCAGATGGTGGAAAACATGTGACATAGGTTAATTTGTCAGTACTGATCATAATGTGCACTTGCTATTCATCGTTAATTAGTGTTGAGATGAGTAGGTGGTGGGTGATATGGATCAAATCCTCACTGTCTTCACTGCTCAACACTGTGTCCTTGAAATGCTCCAAAAACGAATGAATGACAACTGATTTAACTTCATCTGAGAAACGTCGAGAAAGAGCTGCTCCTAAATGAAGCTTGTGACGAGATTGTTTGTCAAATATCAATATATACCTCAACATAATGGCTATTCTATTAATTCAATTGAAAAAACTGTTTAGATAGAATCTGGCTCATCTGGTGAATGAAAGACCCAAGGATAATTCATCATATCGAGGCAAAAATTCTGAGTGAATTCAATAATGCTACAAAGCAGTCCCACTTACTTGTCTGCAACATTGCCAGTAAAGGCCTAACAGAGTTACAGATATTAAAGATTTTACTCATGAGGGTTCGTTCACTTGTCATGAGGAGAAGTACTCGGCTTGTGAAAGCGGTTGCGTAAAGTTTCTTGTGGCTCTGCAGGGAGCGGACTAAAACCTGAGAGAGTAACCTTGATGATGTCATTGGTGGTATCTCACGCTCGGTTACGAATGATGAAAGACATTCACCAGTCAGGGAGGATTACATGAAAAGATGGATCCACTGCATTATGGGAAATGAAGGATGTGAGAAGTGTAGCATTTCTGGAGCTTAAACCACAGCAAGGGAATTCTGGAGCCTTGCAAGAGACAGTTTTTACGGAGAAAGGTCAAAGTCTTTGCAGCAGAGGCTGAGATACCCTTATTTGTAGTCTTAAGTTAGACAAGCCCAGTAAACACACCAGCCAGAGTGCATTTAAGGAAGAGACATAGTGCTTTTGAATTGCATTATGGGAAGTGTAGGATGGAAAGTTTGAAAGCCCACTTGGTGACAGTGACAGGAAACACACTGCAAGGCCATGCACCGACCTCATAGCCACATGGTAGTCATGTGTACGAATGAGTGAACTAAACTGCGGCCACACACTGATGAGACGTGGTAACTTCATAACTGAAGTACAACCACAAGGTACAAACTCTGTGGGTACTGACAGCGCTGTGCGAGCTCCCTTGGGTTAATATCACACATAAGGCTTTGATAAATCCGATTTCATTACATTTCATTTCAATGTTGTGATGTATTATATTAATATCCTGTTTTGCTTTGCTTCGCTGTTGTTTCAGAACCCTGGACAGCAGTGTTTGTTGTGTTTAGGTGCAGCGCTGTGAAAGCACTGAGAGGGAGGGGAGGAGACTGATAGACAGACAGAGCACAAAGTTAATGCAGTCTGTTAGCCTGCCTGCTGTTCATGGTTATAAATACACTGTTGGGCAAATTCTATTTTTTCCTCATTGTAGCAATCCACATAAAACGAGAGAGAGAGAGAGAGCAGCAGGCTGTAAACAGCTGTTTCTGTGTGCCTATGGGTGATTATTGGTAATGATCTGATTATTAAAATAAAATAAATCATGCTTTGTCTGTGATGGCAGTTTTGTGTAGTTTTAGGCATTGTACGCTGTGTTCCAGACTACTGTGCATTCTTTGGTGCGTCCTCTGACTTTATGTCCTCTATTCCAGTGGAGCAGCTCCCTCTGTATGC